TAATTTTCCACGAAAAAATTTTTGCTAACAACATACCCCATATTACTTCTCCTTCTTGCACTATACACACGATGTTTCTATGATTCAACAAACCACATGAACATTCATGCAAACCAGAAAACAAAATGATCAGCATGCATTCCACGTCGAAATAATGACTTGGCTGCAGTCACTGTGATCTGAGTCACCAGTACAGCAGAAGGCCACCTTCATCCAGTCTGATAATCAAGGCAGCCGGGACTGCAAGAGCTACATGACCAACTCGGTTCACTGTGAGGTCACCTACACATCGAACATTTTCACTCCTGCTTTTTTTTTTAAAGTATATCCTTCCACAGTGTTCACTCAGTGTCAACATCAACTCTTCCCACTCTAATATGTCAACCAGTACCAAACACACACTGTGTTACTACAATAATATTCTGAAACTCCATAAAGTAACTAGTATGCATTTGCAGACTGTAGCTGGCGCTTTAGTCAAGAAACCACACATCCACAACTATAACAGAATTTTTCTTTCATCATCAAAAAAGGAACCAGCATATATCTGCCGTCATCAAAAATTGTCAATACATTCTCATCATTAGAGGTGAAATCTTCTCTATTTATGTCACAGTGAACCTTATAGCAATTGTGTCCCCCAGGGGATCCAGTCAGTACCCCAGGGGTGACAGCCAGACACTCACCCAGGGGGTCACTCCTCTAGTCTAATGCTGTATTGTGCCGACCTGGTCCACTACCTCAACCACAAATTATCAAAATGTTTGTCTTCTAATGCTACAAGTGACCATGATTCTACAGTAACCATCAGCACCAACTGGTCTATGTCCATTCCAAACTGCACTGTGCCATTCCAACACTGTCTTCAAAACAAACTTCGGAAAATACTGCTCGCTTTTTCCAACATTGGTTTGGCAGTGGCCCCTTACCACAATATAAAATGTTTCTTTCTCTCTCACTGTGATCTAGTTCATTTATTAATTGTTCTAGAAATGTTCCTAGTGAACTTTAAGATGGCCGCCCTCTCTTTTTGGGTGGGACACCAGAGCTATTGCCCTGAAATGACCTCTTCCTTGGTGAAGTCTTGTTACTCTTCTTAGGTGAGGCTGCTGGCGACTTTTTACCTCGACTCTTCTTTGCATCTTCTTCCTCTGACTTGTCACTTTCGTCCTGGGATTTCTTTGTTGACGCCGATCTTCTGCCTCTCTTTGTAGATGCTGGAGTTGACTTTGAACTCTTCTTTTGTGAGACAGCCTCATCTTCTGATTGGTCGCTTTCCTCAGCTTGGGATTTTTTGGCAGGAGCAGATCTTTTACTTTTCTTGCCAGATGATCTCACTGGTTTTTCTTCTTCACCCTCAGAATCTGTCTCTTCCACATATGACACAGACTTGGGAGATTTCCTTGGTGAACTTCGAGCCCCTTGTTTTTTCGCGGGTGTCTTTTTAGCAGGTTTGCCCTGCTGTTTTTGAGGTTGCCTCCTTTTGGTTTTTGCTGCCACTTTCTTTTCCTCCTCCTCTTCTTCCTCTGATGATGATGATGATGATGATGATGAGCTCGACTCTGAAGAAGAACTTTCTGATTCACTGCCAGAACTCTCCTCTTTATACGACCTGCGTTTGGTAGTAGTCTTTCGCCCCTTTTTAGTCACAGTGGACTTCTTCCTCCTGCTAACCTCGTGTCTGATCTGCAGCTGGTCAAGGTCACGAATGGCAGCTTTACGACCATGACCTCTTCTCTTGGACGGCCTTGGAACGTATGCATCATACACCTGAATGGGAAAAAAGACATTACCACAATTTCTTAAACACAATGACAGTTACTGTCTTTAAACGGCTATAATTCATTCTTACCAGCTTCACACTGGCAACACTTACTCATATTTTCTTTCCAAAACCAATTAACGAGCCCTTCTTAAAATTAATAGAAAATTGGTGCAATAAAAACTGAATCTCTCTCTATTCTTATGTGTGCAACTTCAACTTTCAGGTTGTGATTTTAGTGAATACATTATTATTATTATTATTATTATTATTATTATTATATCCCAGTGGCCCTCATTCTTATCTCCTTTACCTTGCTGTCCTCCCAGTAATCTTCTCCTCCCTCCTCATCATCAGTGTCTCCAGTATCAGTACCAGCCAACATGGAGGGGGTGGGGGTGAAAGGTTTACTCAGCTGGAAGGAACCTGTCAGTCCAATACCTGACAGCTGTCTGGAAGATTGCCAACAGAGAAATATGGCATCAAAATCTGATATCATACTCGTAATTACTGATTTAATATGAGCACAATTTTTGATTGATTGATTTTAATCCAAATACAATGCCGTAATTTCGAAAGATTGAAAAGAAATTGGATTCATGCGAAATCAATGTGAAAGTTATTAAAATGTAAAAAATTTATAGGGCCCCTCACTGTAACAGGCTTCTCACTGGAGTAGGAAGTTCTTACCCCAAAAGTCAACAAAATAATAAACAATAAACCCATCACCTCAATGTCCCTTTATTCAAGGCTCTCTCCACAGCCCTCTTGAAGAGCTGCGGCCTGGCGTCCACTTTGAAGTCAGGATGGTAGTCCATGATGTACTGCTTCAGTAGCTTAGAGCTGCACTGTTTGGGTTCGTTACACGCCACGATAGCATTGCAGACCAGAGTGGGAAGATTGTCCTCTGAAATCCCAGATACACAATATACCTCCATTTGGACTTCAGATTGTTCAAAACCTGCATTGTTTTTGTCTAATTTGGGGTTTAGAGCACAGAAATACAGATGTACAATTCTGTTTCTTTCTTTTTATTTGTTAAACATTTCAAGTCCAAATCTATTAATTCAATGTAATCAAAATAGTGAAAGCATTAAACGACCACTGCTGTGATATACATGCTATTTATACAACTGTAAACATCAAATAAAACAGATCTTTATTCATTTTACAATTAAGAGTTTTCCTGCCCAGTGTATAGTGATGATATATCCCTTACTGATAGCTCTTATGGGATCATATAGGATAGTTGCTCTATATTCATAGGTTTCTATAGGATCCTACAAATGAATCCCACTGGATGTCCAACAGAATTCCTACATAGTCCTAAAGGAAAATTTCCTAAGGGATCTTACATCACAATATGTATGATATATGATGACATATTTTATCTCACCATTACTGGGGTCAAACTCATCAGCCTCCAGTCTGTATGAACTGCCAGAATATTTGACCCAGAGCCCCTTCTCTTCTCCTGACTCCAGACATTTCTTCAGCCTTAAAAAATGTTTTAAAAAAAGACATGAATTTTTATTTCCAAAATGTATTTTAAACAGGTGCTCATCAACTAATAAATCCAGATTTCTAAATCCTCTTCAAAGCTTGAGCAGGTATCAAACTTGGAAAATAAACTTTTAACAACTGTAATAGCAATGCAGTAGCCAACTCTCAAAAAAAGATTTTTTAAAACTTTCTGCCTTTTTCTCAATGACTTACTTAGATTGTATATTGACATTTGGGTAGTAACGGTTGATGTAGTTGCTAATCTTCCCCATTGTGGCGTGCTTGGGATCTGCCATAAAGGTAAGAGCCAATGGGAATGTGTCCTCTATTTTCTGCGGATGGCTGTGGACTATACGCTGGCCATATGCTGCTGATTAAGAGTAAAATGTGCAAGTATAATGTCACACTTTGTGGTTGGTATTTGGAACAGGACTCACAAAAATGGACATATACCCACAATTTATAAGCAATCAGTATCAAAATGAACCCCATATAAGCCTGACATTACTTTATTAAACCCAAACTCAAACAATTAAAATAGTACCTACAGTAACTGGCTTGCTTTCTTTTAGTCTTCTTCTTTTTCTTTTTCTTGTCTTCTCCTGCACTCTTCTCAGCTTCATCATCTCCCTCTTCTCCCTATTACAACAAACACAATATTTAAATACCCTCAACCCCGTCACCTACTCAAAAAGGTATTTACTTCTAAATTTTCTTGGCCATTATATTTTCACTGCTGGCATTACAATGTCATTTGGATATACATATACATCCTATGAAACAAGGAGTAAATGCCAGTATCACATTTTTGTAAGTCATTAGTCCAGGGGCCTCAAGTTTTCTTTTTTAGCTAATAGTACATAAATTATGATTTTATGTACTTAGCAAAAAAAGAAAACTTGAGGCCACTGGACTAATGACTTACAAAAATGTGACACTGGCATTCAGAGAGTAATGGTTGCTCAGAACTGAAAATATTATTGCTATACATAAATACCTCCTTTCTCTCCTCCTCCTTTCCTTTTTCACTTCCTCCTTCTTTCCCTCCTTCCTCAGCATTCTCCACATCTCCCTCCTCTGTTTTCTCTTCATCTCCTTTCTTCTTTGTTTCTTTCTTGTTTTCTTTGTTTTCTNTTCCCGCCTTCGAAATGTTCAGCGCAAACACGGTGCCCTGCTTTTGATCCAAACTTGCTATATTTTCCTTTCTTTCTACCATATTTTTCATTCTAACGGGTTTGTTGGGAACTTATTAAACCTCATGTGTCGATCTCGCTTACTGTTATTGTAGTAGCGGGACAAAAAGCACGTAAACCCAGCCATGGTTTTAAGCACCGCTGTAAGTGTTTCGACGTAGCAGGGCTCCCCTACCCACAATGCAATTTCCATTTCCGGAAAAGATGGAAAAGGCTAATAGGCCATTTGTCCTAGGACATTCAATAGAATTCCTGAAGAGCCCCATCGAGTCCTGTAGGAAATTTCCACAAGGGAATACATGTGACCAGTTCACTTACCACCTCAATGTGTCCCATCCTCACTTCCCTCTCCAGACTTTTCTTCAGCTTCTCAGGGTAGTCCATAATCCGCAGAGCTGGGTATTTGTGGGCGATCTGAGTCTTCAGTAAGAAAAATCTTACACCTTTTCTCTGAGGCAGATGTTAAGGAAGTGTTTTTGTAATTGTTTACACGGTACCAAGGGAGAGAGGCTTGGTTTACTGATACACTACAATTATGGGAAACTTTTTTTCATAAACCTTTCTTACGAGGCACATGTAAAGAAAGCATTTTGATGCTGTTTAAACAGCAACAATTTTGTATTTCCAGTATATTATGATACAACTGTGGGAAAACTTTTACTTTCACAAAAATAATCGTTTTTAGTAATTAGATTTCTTTGCAATTGCTGGCTAAATGCTGTATTAGTTATGAAGACATGATTTGGGGTTGTAAGAAAACAGTTGGAAGGAATGGCTTGATAGCCTATGAATGGGGGTCTAGGGGCAGCTTGAAGTGGAAAACTCCCTAGTAAAAAGATACAGGATTCCCAGCCTCTGTGATGACATTTTCAATAATTTCTTTCATTTTGAGCCCCAAACTTGGTGCCTTCACCTTAGGACGATTTGGTCTGGTCTTCACCTCTCTCAGTTCACCCACATACTTGGAGCTTTCTTTTAACCCAAACGTACCATCAAATATCTCTTTTACCACCTGAAAGTCAACTTTAAGACTAAATCGTAGAACTTCTGAAGAAATAAAGCAAGGTTAGACCAACGTTAAAGCAGAGGTGCCAGAAATGGTAAGAATGAAGCATACCTTAAAATAATACTGAATTCATGCTTCCAAATTTTTAAACCCTATTAAAATACAGTCTAGTAATATTTCACCAAACAAACTTTTCACCTTTAAAAAATCCCCTTTGTCTAGGGCCAGGCTATCAAAGGACGGGTTCTCTGAACATTCTTCAAGGTACTTTTCATAGGCTGCAGATTTTGCAACTTTCTTTTCTTCCTTCTTCTCAAAATTATTCTTTAACCTAAAATATTAGATAATATTCTAAAAACTATCTGTGTTGTTTTAAGGGTGGACATCATAATATTAGCCTGCAGTCATCAGTCTCACTCCATGGCAATAACTCAATAAACATTTCAAAACTACTACAGACATAGTAAATCACTTCAACAGATAATTTTTTTTTCAGAATATCTTAAGGAGAATTTCTATAACTCAATAGGTTTGTCTTAATGTCACAGAGACTGTTCAATGTAGACGGGACAAATGAGAGAGTGACAATGGGTGTTTGTGCATGAAACTGATCAGAAGATGTCCTGGTGAAGACAGACAAGGTCAGGAAATATGTAAAAAAACTGTCTATAATATGATAAAATAACATTGATGAATTATTATCATTGCATGAGCGAATATTTACAAACATCATTCTTACCATTTCACCAATTTTTCTTCCTTTGGAAGACGCTCTGGGCGTGCCCGTTTGGCGGGGAGCTCGCTCAAACTGTCCAGAAAGGCCACGCCAGTGGTGGTGACATGGTGCATTGTGCCGCCAACACCACTCTCTGATACCAAGAGAATATGTCAATATTATATACAGTGTGATTAATATAATGAAAGTGTATGTATTACAGACCATTTTTGTTTTCTTTTTGTTTTCTCTTTAAGCATTTTCACATTCTACATATTAGTATGAACTACTATGAATTTCTTTTCACATTCATAATGGTAACAATGTGATGCCTTGAACTAGCATGCATTATGATCTTACAAATAAAAGGCATCTTTTAAATGTTTTGCCATTTTTTCAGGATAAAAACTATATTTATGAACTGTATTTAATTATAATTATTAATTACCATGCATGTACAGTATCCACTCTTATTTACATATTTGCGCATGCATGCTAAAAATGCAAGCATCTGTACACATGTGTACTCATGCATGCACATACTACCTTCTTCCTCAGGGATGTACGACTTTTTCTTGGGCGGTAGTGTACTGGTCGGCATGTTCTGAAATACATTTTAACATCCACATATACATTACATATTTTATATATATTTTATACAGCCTCATTGATTTAAATCTTTCTTTGTCGTTAAGCTTATAATGCAATGTCACAGTGACCTACATTGCTGCCATGACCTTGACCTACTGACAGTGACCCTTCTATGACCTTGACCTAGTTACACATTCATCCATGAGGTCAAAGGGTATTTTCATTACAAAATTGGCTTGTATTTCAGCTTAAAAGGGGTAATTCGTATCAAAAATTTGCATACATTTTATTTTTAAGTAAAATTTGAGCAAACATTACAATTCGTCTTGTTGGCGAGTTGAACAATTTTGATGCCTTTTTCATCTGCAGAACAATTATTCTACAGCAGAGCAAAAACATATGAAAACATTTCCTTGCATATTTTAGTTTTATACCCTTGATATAACCACTTTTGCTATAATGAAAGGAAAGAGAACAGAGCAGTGAGAAAATGGCGGTGCTTAATCCAGCTACGAGAGCTGGGTCACCGGCATATCGTAATATTTACAGAACTGCTCTTGCCATATTCACATTAGCCAGTGCATACTATAATAAAAATGTATATTATACCACCATGCATATATTTACCTTCAGTAAACACAAATACTGTGCAAGAAACACGGATGTTGACAGCGGTCTTGCAGCAGTGTTTTGTATACAGGCTATTTAAAGCGTGCACACAAAACGAAGCGTCATCGGTTTTTGTGTTTTGCAGTGAAAACGCATTGCGCTTATGTCTCAACTATTACAATGGCAGATTTGGACACGCTAATCTTTTGATTTTTGAAATAGGCCAAGTAAACCCTGAAGATGTATATATTTGTATTCTTCAACACGTTGTTTGGATATTCATTAGTTTGAACTACCATATTATCATCACCTTATAGGCCTACTCAGCCGAATACCCCCTCAACAACAATCGGTTATTAATTTAATTGGTAAATTAATTAGGCTGATTAACGATAAATTATCATAATGCACTTTATTTTTAATTAAATCTTTTTGTGTATAGGCCTATACTTAACCGATTTTGACTTTCATAGTTTGGCATTCTAAAGTCTTTTTTAGGTTCATTAACTAGAACAAGAAGAACATAGAGTAGAGACAAAATATTTGAAGTACATGTATATATATATACATGTATATAGTGCTGGGAGTGCTAGGAGACATAAATCTGGCCCAGGTCAATCCTATGTTTCAGTATTATTGGCAAATGACAGATGCTGCTTTCACAACCCTTACACTCAGTCTTGATACATTTAATAAATGTTACATTGACTACAGAGTCCGTTTTTCAATCTTTTATTTAATTCAACTTGTATAAAAAAACACTAAACGGTTATAAATTAAATGGCACTAGCTATGTCTCGAAATTCTCCGACAGCTAAACAAAAATAGCATATCCACTACAAACGATCTCAAACAGTCAGATTAATATGGGATTGAAATACCGACTGTCGAACTGGTTGACATTACGCACAGACTGTCACCACGTGACACCAGGGACTCCACGTCAGCAGTTAATAAATAAGGCGTTGAGATAAGGTCGAAATGTTGTGAAATCTAAGTTTTTAAAAACTGCATGAATGAAAGCATTCACTTTAAGATGGCTAACAGTATTAGGATATTTCAGTTCTACAATAAAGAGCAGGGCAGCACCACCATGATTTCTCGGTATTACAATAATGAAATAATGATATTGTTCGTTCGTGATTCATTTGATTTCACTTTAATTTTCTAGAGGGCGCGTTCTGTGTCGCCAAATCATGAAAGCCACTTTAGTGATCGCCATGACACTTGCAATGCCCAACAAAACCATCGTGAAAATTTTATTGGTCTTTGTTGGATCATAACCTTGCACGAGACTCGCCGTCAGCGCGAGCAGGATTATTATAAAGGGACTGAATAAATAACGTGTGAATTTGTCCAGAACAAAATTGTCAAGAGTGAACCAAAACAACAGCTCCACTGCAAGAATCCCCAAGACAGCGGTGCACGAGGTTTCCATGGCGACTGAACCATCGTACGTCATCACTATGGCGACATTCAACAGGGTTGCTATGGTCGTCCACGTGGCGTAGAAAGCCATGCCGTTCTGGGTTAAAAACCGTGTCAACCAGACGTCCTTTCTGTATCCTTGATTTATCATGGTCACTTTATTATCGTTCAGTCGTCGGAATGAAATGAACAGGCAGATATAGAGCGTGAATGGCACCAGGGCAATACACGGCAAGGCCCAAGCTGATAACAGCCGGTCCCAGAGAATCAGCCAGACGACGTTAGCGATGTTATTGACGATGAAGACGGCGTACATAGCGGGAGGCATTGTGGGATAGACGGCGTAGAAATAACCGTCATCCGTGCGACGGAATATGTTGGCAATGCCGTAGATTATCCACAGATACTGCCAAGTGTAGATGAAGCCCCAAACAGAAAACATCCATCCTGCCGGGGTGATTTCTAAATAGAAATAGTCGGCTATATCCCCCGTGTTGTTAAGGTACAAACCTAGGAAGAACAAAAATATTTTTGACATAACGGAAAATGCTAAAAATAAATAATTCATATAGCAATTATAATAATAAGTTAACAATAATAACTTGGGCCATTCATCAGTATTTCTCCTTTCCTTAAAAACTTTTTACTACAGCATACATATATCCCTACCAATTTAACTACATAAATGTCTTCAAAAATAACTCAATTTAAGTCTGGCTCAATACTACACATTTTCTTGGTATCTATATCACGTACGTTTATCTTTCATGTCAGTTTAAACGTTCTAGTAGAGAGTCGTAAGACCCCACCCAGATCCCCACCCCCACCCCACCACTGACATAACTTACCGTGACCCTTACCGTTAAGGCGAGGCCCATTTAGTTTAGTACTGGGTAATTATTAACGATTTAGATAACGCTGTTTTCATAACGCCTGCACTCTGTGATAGAACTGAATGAATTCCATGGTTCGGAAGGGGTCAACTGGACTCTTAAATTACGCAAAATCTTATCAGCCACGTGTGTCATTCTATTGTACTCTCACGGTGAACGACAAATCTAGCCACTGGAAGGATTACAATCACAGATTGATCTAGGGGTTGAGGTAGGGTTCATCTTTTCCTTCTTAGGAAATATGTGTTACCTCCTCTCTTGAAAAAGAAGGGAGCAGAATTAACCCTGTTGTTTTCTAAATATGATCGCCGCCCCCGCCCCCCTCCCCCATAAACCTACCCCCTGAACCTAAGGGCATGCTGTCAACTCACCTGTTGACACCCCAGCGGGACTCGCTGCCAACGCGTTGAAGACGATACATAGTGTGTACGCCACTGCAGCCAGGACGACAAGAGCAATGTCCGCGGGCTTGTGGCGGAACTTGGGCGTCTCCTCGGTCATGTACATCTTCTGGTTTGTCTGAAACAAAGGGAAGACGTTCAATTAAGCTGTAAAACGGATTTGGTGGCTGTAGGCGTAGAGCGTGCTCGGTTGTCACCTTGATCGGTTGATGAATTTTAAAATGGCACAAGATGACTCTCATCAAATCGCACCAAACACCGACCTGACAATAATAATTTTCACGAGGACGGGTTTTTACATGATAATCACTTCTGTGTGACATTTCAAGATTTGCTTTTTTGCAGTTTTTAGATTCGCCAGGTAACAACCAAGCGTGTCCATGTTCTACACCCGCCGCCAGTGGTTTCCATAATATTACAAAAATGTCACCGTTTTCTTAAAATAGCACTTTAATATGTTCAAGAAATGACCTGAAGAGTTTCATTGCTCACTCGCGTGTAGTCTACAAATAAGAATTGTAAAGACAACATTTTCGGGAAATTCTGCAAAAGACGTTTATATAAAGTTCTGTAATTTGTTCTGAGAATAAGTGAAGGAATGTGACACTTTACACCAATGATGTAATTAATAAATTTAATTTCGATTTTGTGTCATTTTTATAATATATTTTTCTGTATGTGAGTTCTGCCGGCTGTACCATATTGTATTAACACAGTAATAATAAGATTCTACTGTAACTAGTTCATGGAAAATGTGAAAAATAGGACTCAATCACAGGCACTGACACACCGGGTACTGCGCCCAGGAAACGTGAACGCTGTACCACGTGTGCGTGAGTTATCTAGCTAAGACTACAGTATACGCATCTGCCCTGATCTGGTCAGTCATTTTATAACGCGGGGTCCAGCGTCTGATCTAATGGTCAGAGGAATCTGAGTCACGAGGAAGTTATCTCCATGGTTATATAAGCGGTTTCTTACTTATTGTTTTATAGCTCCTGTGCCCAGTTATATTGGCCCCTAGTAAACTTACGGACAGGCTCGAAGTAAAAGAATTACACAACACTGACTTTTGAGGACCATTTGTTGGATATTTCTGAAAATTTTTAAGTTTTCTGTTACGTTGGTAACCGTTCTATAATGCTTAAAACGTCTTTTGACATTTCATTTTCTGAAAACTTAATTTTTCTTAACTCGATAGAGCCATGGTCAGCCCTTTGAAAACTTTGACACCTGAAACACTGGTACAGTAACTCCGAGAAAATCACATACATCGGAATTTTTTTTCTAGAGCGTCACAAAATATGAAGATTTTTGAAACACAGTTTAGGTCTCTTACACCCTGAAACGTTACACAAGGGGGGGGGGCGCTCAATTTGATTGTACAGTTAACTTGCTTTCAATGTTTAATTAACTCTTCAGATGAGTAAAATTGAGCGGATTTAACGATGTGCAGGTAGACCCAAGAAAGACCGACCCCATTGAAAAACAGGGTGTTGTCATGGTTTAGATATGATACCCATTCTTCAAATGTGATATTATATTACTAATATCAAGGTTAACAACAAATCTACATGTTTTAAGCAAAGTAATGCTTGACAACCCTGATACAATAAGTGAACTTCGTATACTTACTGCGCCACACTACTGTCTTTTATGTGCCGAGCTGGAGTAGACGGATCTGTTAACTGTAAAGTCGTTCTTACAGAAGCCAACTGAACGCGTTCTTGATTTGAGGTCAAATCAGGAATTCTGACTTATATACTGGGAAATGTTCAGCTACAACTCACGCTTCAGGCAACGTGCAGGTGAACAGTATACCGTCCTTATCTCTGTGACCTTTCACCGGATTGGCCAGTTTTGTTTACTGTTGGACACAGCCAGTCAACCACAGGGACATACATCACAGTAAAGTATGCATAATGACAGCAATTGACAGGGGCTGCCAAATACAGGTTGGGGTGTTCGGATGAGGCGTTTTGTTTTAACTGAAATAGATTGCCATAGTATTCAACCTTCCGCTGTTCTATATATTTACCTCAGGTGAAGAAGATCGAACAATGAGGCAATCAAATATATAGTTTACACATCTGCATTTGTGGATGATATAAAAAAAATCATCCCGATTAGGGTCTGCCACGTAATTTTAAAGTCCATGTAAGAATAAATATCTCCTGTAAAAGAATGATTAGGTGCCGAACCTTTGATTTTAATATCTGAAAAATATCCCCTTTAACTTAGTAAATCAGCAAAAATTGCATTTGCAACAACTTCAAGGTGTCCTTTGTTGTGGCGCCAAAAACGAGTTATGCCCCCCCCCCCCCAAAAAAAAAATATCTTTTGTAACGTCAATTTCATCTGCCCAACTTACGCTCTCTGTTGCCATGGAAACTACACAGGTGAATAGTTGACAGATGCGAGTTGACAGTAGATTCAGGCAAGGAGTTATAACTCCTAGATTCAGGTACCCTTGAATTATTTCACTATCGCGACCCTCTTTTACCAAGTCACACCCAACCATGTGACCATTATACAACTTTACGTCAAGTTATATAAGTTGAGATATTTTTCCGACAGACGTCGCTTGAACTGAAAACACGACTTTCGTTTCAGTACTGAATGTTAGAGGAAAAACTTTTGAAGATTTTTGAAACTCCTTGTTTGAAGTAGCTTAGACCCTTAATTTTCACGTGGAGCGGTACACTCTAGCTCTATGTAGACTATACAGTCTGTACCGGTAGGGGGCCTATACTTTGAGGCCGTAACATACAATACCGCTATTAGTTACTCTATTTCACTAGTTTGGTCGTGTTGAGCGCGAGAACTTCGTCTGATGGACTATCTTGCGTAAAAATAGCCACTTTTTTTAGTTGTCAGTCTCTCGATCACTTTCTTTCTTGCAGTGTTTTCTGACCGAGTATACCGTATCGCTAGTGGGTAACGCTTGATGTAAAATGGACCTCAAACATGGCGTGACAGTAAAATAAATGAAATGAAACCGGTTTCTGTTATAACAGAGCCACTGTACATTTTTAAATAAAACAGTTCTTAAGATGGTTACGTAGCACCTGACTGCAAAATCCACAAATTAATGAACGATGATGCTAGTGTAATTGATCAGCCTTGTTGGCTATTCAGGTTGTTCTGTTGATTTTCACAAATTACACTACTGACACAGGGATTAAAAAATTCTGCTACATATTTTATTCTTTTGCTAGCTCTGAAGCTTCAAAACTCTCTGCCTTCCAACTTTATATCTCTCCCCCTCCCTCCCTCTGTCGCCTCTTTTATACCAACACTCATTTACATTTTAAATTAACACATATTTCCGGACATTTTATCACTCTGTTCCATCATTAGGCTTACATATATTAATAATGAATTAAATAAAAGATTATATTGCATGTAACATGCAACTTACCACGCACTACATCGTAGTATACTAAAGCTATAAGAGATGTAGATACAGTGTGCATCTATATACATCTCTTTGATTAAAGCTATCTGAATTAGTCTGCCGTTTTTATCAATAACAGGTGCGTACACATATATTTATAATTTAGGCCTACTGAACAAAGGTTTATATTTACATTAAAATGTAAATTTCCTTAATGTTATAATTACATCTGAAAAGGCTGATATAATTAAATGTATAATTATAATTATAGGCAATTTCATCTGAATGCTCATCTGCTTAGATCTTTCGCATGTACTAGCAGGGCCGTAGCCTTAGCAAAATGCCAGGGGGGGGGGGCAGTAAGCGG